GTGGGGGCAAGGAGGGATGTCCCGGGGGTGGCAGGAGGGATGTCCCCAAGGAGGGATGTCCCGGGGGTGGCAGGATGGATGTCCCTAAGGAGGGATGACCCAGGGGTGGCAGGAATGATGTCCCTGGAGAGGCAGGAGGGATGTCCCCAGGGAGGCATGCCCCAGCGGTGGCAGGAAAGAATGTCTTCAGGAAAGCAGGAGGGATGTCCCCAAGGAAGCATGTCCCTGGAGTGGCAGGAGGGATGTCCAAAGCTTGGAGGAAACCATCAGCATCTCCAGGGGTCTCAGGGATGAGGTCTGTGCATGGCACAGACATAGCGCAGCAGAGGGTGGGCAGGATCTGACCCCGGGCTAATTCCCTGGCATTTCTTGGCTTGCCGGCCCAGAGGGCCAACGCTGGGGATCAGTGGGCACGTGCTGCTCTCGGCCCCAGAGGAAACCCCAAAGCAACGGCAGCGCTGCCGGGCACAGCCGCGGTTGGCAGCACAGCATGGCCCAGGTGCCTCCATCCAAACGGGCTTTTCCATCTTTAATCCCTGGAAAAATGCTTTCTCCGGCAAATCCCGCCATGGGGCGAAGGGTGGAAGAGATGTGTCCTTCCAGCCCCTCGTTCCTCTCGCTGCCAGCTCCAAGCAGGTCGTGATGCTGTTTGCCAGCAAAATGCCTGCGCAGGTGGGAGAGCTCAGCCCTGAGCTTGGTCCAGTTTGTTCCTCGGGAAGAAGTGGGGAGAGAAAACCCCCATCTGACTTCGGGCATCCTCAATACAATTGTTGAACCTCATATGAACCTCCTGAGGTCCAACAAGGCCAAGTGTAGCATCCTGCCCCCAGGTCAGGGCAGCCCCCGGTCCCAGCACAAGCTGTGGATGGAGGGTTGGAGAGCAGCGCTGACGAGAAGGGCTTGGGGGGGGCTGAGGTGGGGGAAAAGCTCACCAGGAGCCGGCAACGTGCGCCGGCAGCCCAGGGAGCCCCCGGCAGGGAGGGGGCTGGGGACCTCCTTCCTTGCTGGGGTGCTGGTGCATCCCATCGGGGCGCTCCCCGTTCTTCAGCTGCCTCTGCTGCTGCTCCCCATCCCACCCCGCCGCATCCGTGCTCCTGCTTGGCACCATCTGGATGTCGTGGGGACCGGTGGCACGAACCTGGAGTCCCTGCATGGGTGCCTGAGGCAGGAGGGATGTCCCTGGGGGGGCAGGAGGGATGTCCTGGGGGTGACAGGAGGGATGTCTCTGGAGATGCAGGAGGGATGTCCCCCAGGAGGGATGTCCCGGGGGTGGCAGGAGGGATGTCCCCAAGGAGGGATGTCCCGGGGGTGGCAGGATGGATGTCCCTAAGGAGGGATGTCCCAGGGGGGGCAGGAGGGATGTCCTGGGGGTGACAGGAGGGATGTCCCCAAGGAGGGATATCCCTGGGGGCAGCAGAAGGGATGTCCTTGGGGAAGCAGGAGGGATGTCCCCAAGGAGGGATGTCCCGGGGGTGGCAGGAGGGATGTTGCCAAGGAGGGATGTCCCAGGGGTGGCAGGAGGGATGTCCTGGGGGTGACAGGAGGAATGTCTCTGGAGATGCAGGAGGGATGTCGCCAAGGATGGATGTCCCGGGGGTGGCAGGATGGATGTCCCTAAGGAGGGATGTCCCAGGGGTGGCAGGAGGGATGTCCTGGGGGTGACAGGAGGGATGTCTCTGGAGATGCAGGAGGGATGTCGCCAAGGATGGATGTCCCGGGGGTGGCAGGAGGGATGTCCCCAAGGAGGGATGTCCCGGGGGTGGCAGGATGGATGTCCCTAAGGAGGGATGACCCAGGGGTGGCAGGAAGGATGTCCCTGGAGAGGCAGGAGGGATGTCCCCAGGGAGGCATGCCCCAGCGGTGGCAGGAAAGAATGTCTTCAGGAAAGCAGGAGGGATGTCCCCAAGGAAGCATGTCCCTGGAGTGGCAGGAGGGATGTCCAAAGCTTGGAGGAAACCATCAGCATCTCCAGGGGTCTCAGGGATGAGGTCTGTGCATGGCACAGACATAGCGCAGCAGAGGGTGGGCAGGATCTGACCCCGGGCTAATTCCCTGGCATTTCTTGGCTTGCCGGCCCAGAGGGCCAACGCTGGGGATCAGTGGGCACGTGCTGCTCTCGGCCCCAGAGGAAACCCCAAAGCAACGGCAGCGCTGCCGGGCACAGCCGCGGTTGGCAGCACAGCATGGCCCAGGTGCCTCCATCCAAACGGGCTTTTCCATCTTTAATCCCTGGAAAAATGCTTTCTCCAGCAAATCCCGCCATGGGGCGAAGGGTGGAAGAGATGTGTCCTTCCAGCCCCTCGTTCCTCTCGCTGCCAGCTCCAAGCAGGTCGTGATGCTGTTTGCCAGCAAAATGCCTGCGCGGGTGGGAGAGCTCAGCCCTGAGCTTGGTCCAGTTTGTTCCTCGGGAAGAAGTGGGGAGAGAAAACCCCCATCTGACTTCGGGCATCCTCAATACAATTGTTGAACCTCATATGAACCTCCTGAGGTCCAACAAGGCCAAGTGTAGCATCCTGCCCCCAGGTCAGGGCAGCCCCCGGTCCCAGCACAAGCTGTGGATGGAGGGTTGGAGAGCAGCCCTGAGGAGAAGGGCTCGGGGGGGGCTGAGGTGGTCAGCCTGGAGAAGAGAAGGCCAAAAAGGGGAGACCTCAGAGCCCCTTCCAGTGCCTAAAGGGGCTCCAGGAGAGCTGGGGAGGGACTCCTGGTCAGGGAGGGGAACAATAGCACAAGGGGGAATGGTTTTAAACTGAAAGAGAGGAGATTTAGATGAGGTATTATATATAGGTAAATATAAAGGTAGAAATTCTTGACTGTGAGGGTGGTGATCCCCTGGGACAGGTTGCCCCGAGAAGCTGTGGCTGCCCCATCCCTGGAGGGGTTCAAGGCCAGGTTGGACGGGGCTTGGAGCAACCTGGGCTGGTGGGAGGTGTCCCTGCCCAGGGCAGGGGGTGGACTGGATGGCCTTTGAAGGTCCCTTCAACCCAAATTATTCTATGATTCTGTGATCCAGCCTCATCAGACTGGCTGGGCTCTTGGCACACCGAGGGCTCCTGGGGCTGCAGAGCAAATTGCTTCCCCCTGCTCGGCTCTGCCTTAACATCACAACAACTTTCCTTGAGCATCCTCGGTCCTTGCATGCTGCCAACACCCCTGCTGCTCCCTCTCCTCCTTCCCCAAATATTTCTCTCCTAATCCCCCAACCACCACCGAAACTGTGCCCGGAGCACCGGGGAGATAACTGTGAGCGAGCGCTTACCTGTGCCACCACCTCGGTCCCCCTTCTCTCCCTTCGGGCCTCGGTCACCTGGGAAAAGAAAGAGCCCGGAGCATAAATCTTGCTAAAATCCCATTTTTACTGGATATCCTACTCTTAGGTAATGCTGTGTGTCTGAAGCTCTTGGAGGATTTCATCAGTTTGGGGAAACTGAGGCACAAAGCACCAAATGACTTGTTAGCCCCTCTCCTGACCCTCCAGCCGTGCTGCGTGGTGATGGGACCCACCTCCTCACGCCCCTGCCTTCTCCTGGGGTGCTTCTTTTTGAAGCCGTGTCCTGGTTTCGGCCGGGATGGGGTTGACTCTCCTGCCGGGAGCCGGTGGGGTGCTGC